TATCTTTATTTTTTTTTGATGTTTTTCTCTTTTTTTTTTTTTTTTTTTGAGGTTTTTTTCTTTTTTATCTATAAACATTATTTTATTTTTTCTAATTTTACTATATTTTTAATTTACCTTGTATTTAAATTTCCTATATATATATATATATAATATTTTCTTTTCTTTTTTATTTTATGATTGTGTGATTTACTTTTATTTTTCTATATATACTTTTTTTTTAAAATAATGTATAAAAATACTGAGGAAAAAAATACTTACTTTAATGAGTTCAATCTAAAAAGTAATGTTTGTTGCGATTTTATTTCAAGTAGCACATTTGGAGGAGATCAGATTAGTAAACTAAAAAATAAATTATTTAATTGCAACAATAGTGAATTAATTGATATAAATAATTCAAAAGATAATGGATATAATGATATAGAAAATAATAATAATAATAACAACGAATTATTACATTTATTAGATAACATAAATTATTTAAATGCAAATTTATATTATAATAAAAATAAACTACAAAATAAAAAAAATATTACATCTTTTGAAGGTATTTAAAAATATCATTTTCATAATAATAAAAAAAAAAAAAAAAAAATTATTCTTTTAAATATATATTTTATAATTTTATTTTATATATATAGTTCTTTGAATTTATTTTAATATGTATGTATATTATCATATTGTAGAATTTATTTCATTGTTGCCGTTTTTTTTTTTTTTTTTTTTTTTTTTTGACAGATAAGAGTAGTTTGAGTCAGCATGATTATTTAAATATTAAAAAAAGTAAATTAATTAATAATTTAAACTTTTTTATGCGTGTATGTTGTAATAAAAAATCATATATAAAATTTATAAATCATTATTTCAATATAATTTATAGTAATAATATTAATATATTATTTCAATATGAATGTATATTGCAAAAATTTGAAGAAAATAATGAAAACTTAACTGAAAATGATTATTATAATGCATATATTAATTTAAATAAAATTCCTTTACATATTAATGAAAATGTTATAATTCATGGAAAAAATATAGACATAAATAATAAACAGGAGAATATAAGAAATAATAATCTTTTTGAAAATAATATAATAAGTTTTTTAAATGTATATGATAATTTAACTGTTAATTTTTTTAATCACATATTTAACAAAATGAATAATGATAGTAATATGCAAAGTTCCCACTTTGATAACATAATTAATAATTTTTTACATAAAAAAAATTTATTAAAAGAAAATATTTTTAACATACTTTTAAATATAAGTAAATCTTACGAAATCAAATATAGTGATGTTATTAGTGATATTAAAAATGAAGAATATTTAAAGGATGGAAATGAAAAAAAAATTTTAGAAATCCTAAAAAATAAAATAGATAGAGAAGCAAATAAATTAAATAAAATAAATAGTGTTACTAGTGATTATAAGAATAATACGATTCATTTAAAAAATACAGAAATATATATAAATAATAAAAATAATGATATTAAAAATAAAGACAATGGTGAAATAGATAATTATTGTGATGGTATTACAAATAATATTAATAAAAATAGTTCTAATAATAATGATACTACTAATAATAATGAAAATGTATTTTTAGAGGAAATAAAAGAAAAATTAAATAAAGAAATTGAAATATATGACAACAATCAAACAAAAAATGAAGAAGTAGATAAAAAGAAAAATATTAATACAATAGACAATATATATAAATTTTTGAAAAATAACATTTTTATTCCTAATAACAACATTTACACTGATTTTGTTGAAAATGGAAATGATATTTTTTTAAATAAAATTAAAAAAAGTGATAAGAATGCTTATTTTAAATTAATAGAAAAATTTGATCGTATGTATAATATAATAAATGAATTTAAAAATAATATAAAGAATAGCAAAATGCAAGATGATAATTTAAATAATGATAAAGAAAACATACAAAAAAACAAAAAAAAAAAAAATGATTTCAATGAATATGAATTTAAAGTTAATAATCAGACTAAAAGATGTTTAAGAAATTGTAATTGTAAAAAAAATAAAAAAAGTAAAAGAAGTAAAAGAATAAAGAAAATTGAAATATCAAAAAATAAAAAAATTAAATTAGAAGACAAAAAAAAAAAAAATTAAATATTTAAAAAATATAAATAATACAATTTAAATATCTGAAAAAATATAAAAAAAGAAATAATTAATATGGAATATAAAGGATGATGAAAAAACAAAAGAAAAATTAATACAGAATAAAAATTTTCATTTTTTTTTTTTTTTTTTTTTGTAATTTTTAAATATAAAATTATTAATCTATACATTTTTATTTTATTTTATTTTTTTTTTTTTAATTTAAATCGAATTATATATATATATTTATACCTTTTTAAATTATTTTTTTAATTATATTTTATATATGTATATTATTCTTTTACTATTACTTTTAAAGAAATTTTTATGAAATATGTGAAGAAAAATAAAGGAAAAAATAAAATTAATTTAAAAATCTTATAAAGTATATTCTTTAATTATATTTTTAATGTTTTTTTTTTTTTTTTTTTTATTTTTATTTTTATCTTTTTTTATTTTCTTTTTTTATGAATTAAAATAAGTATAAAGTTATTAAAAATAAAGTAATGTAAAAGAACTACTTTTTTTTAAGACAACTAGTTTTTAAAATTTTTTTTCAAAAGTAAAAATATTTATTAAGTTATTCAATTTATCATATATAAAGGAATGTAAATGTAATACAACAGATTATAAATAGTGATATAAATGATATTATGAAATAACAATATATATATAAAATAAATGTACAACAAGCTTTTTAATAAATATTTCTAATATAAATAACTGTTTATAATACATAAAGATGATATTAATTAACGTTTGTTATCTTAAACTACAAAATAGTTGTTTTGATTTGAAAATAAAAGATAGTAATATAATAGAATGCAATTATCTGTATATTTTTTGTTTTTCTTATTTTAATATCATAAAAAAATGTAATTATTATAGATGATAAAAAAAATTAAAATGAAACATAATGATTTTCTTAAAAGTTGATATTTTGTTTATTTCATATATGGTTTTTTGTTTAAAAAAAAAAAAAAAGAAATAGTTACATATAACATTTGCATACATTTATTGGAAATATTGACTACTTTTATAAAAAATATATATACATATTCTTTTTAAAAAAAAAAAATATTTTAATTTTGAAAATAATTTTATTCTATTTTTTATTAGATAAAAATGGGAGATAATACATCTTAACCTTTTCATACATTTAAATATATAAATGAATATGCATGCATTTGTATTTTAATATTCTTAATTTATAATTATTTATAAGATCATCATTAGACATTTTAGATAAAATGTTTTAAAAATATTTCTAATATATATATAATTGTTTTAAAATATAAAAATAATAAATATATATATATATATATATTACATAATTATACAATTGACTGTTGTGTGGGAGTAAATGATTAGAAGAATTCAAATAAACTTTAAGTTGATCTATGATTTAATAGTTTATTATTAATGTAACTTTTACTTTGATATATAAATTATATCCATATTAAGCATAAACTTTTTAATGTATTTTAAAAAATATACAAATTAATAGTTAATATAAATGAGAATAATTGAGTAAAAATATATATCATATTTTAATAAATTTTCTTTTAAAAAATTAATATTTACATAAACCTTTTTGTAGAAGAAAAAACAAATGATTAGAATTCAATTTTTTTTTTTATATTTTTAAATATAATTAACATATTTCATAATTTTTTTTTTGTAAAAATAAAAAATTAGTTTAAAAGATACTAATACTTTTAATATAAATTATTTATTACTTTTAAGCTGTTGTGACAAGTAAAATTTCTAAATATAAATGAATTTTATTAAATTTTCAGAGGGAATACTATTATTTTAATTTAATTATACATCTTATAACAATTTCATTATTGTTTTTCTATTGATTTATTATTATACTATAATATCTTTAACTAAATTATTATGAATTTTGCAACTTTATGAGAATATTATATAAATCTTTCCTTAATATTTATATTTTTTATAATAATATTTTTTTTTAATTTAAAGAATTATATACATTATTATATGATATATAATCTTGAAATATGTCACCTTTTTCAACATAAATACATTCATTATAAAAATAATTGTTTAATTCATTTCCCATTTTTTTTTTTCTTTTTATATTATCTGAATTTAAAAAATTATATATATTTTTATGCGTACTGTTATATTTATATCCATTTAAAAAAGTTAGAAAATTAAGTTTTCTATCATTATTTATTTTTAATTCTTTTGTAAATTTTTTAATTTCTTTAGTTAAGTAATTTTTATCTAATTTATTTATTTTGTTATTTTTTAAAACATTAAAGAGTTCCTCGTTAATCTCTCTTTCATAATAACAAGAAAAAGAAGTATTACAACAAATATCACCCCTACATCTAATTCTTGTAATTTTATTCGAAACATTTAATAGTATATTTTTTACAATGTTGTTTTCTGAATGAAATAAGATATTTTTAATAATATTCTTAGTAGGTATATCAATGTATTTGTATTTTTCAAAATTTAACGAATTAATAATTTTATTAAATAGGTACATAAATTTTTTTTTTATTAATGTATTTTTTTTTATTAAATTAACAGATTCTCTTTCCATGAATAAAAATTTTAAAGAATTGTAAATTGAGTTAACTAAACCAAAATTATTTACATCAAATTTCAATTTATAAATTAATCTTTTGTATGCAAATAGTGTAATTAATGTATTTTTTTTACTTTTTATATAATATATGTAATCATAAATAGTATCTATTTTTTTATTTTTTATATCTCTAACATAGAAATACTGAATAAAATGATTATAAACTACATTTATTTTAAAGTTTAGAATAGACCTAAATAAATTTTGTATCTGGTGATAAATAATTTTTTTTTCATGTAATTCTTTAAAAAAATAATAACTTTTTTCAATGTAATAATAATTTTGCTTCAATAACAATAGCCATTTATCTTTTTTTTTAACTTTTTTTAATGATTCAAAATTTAGTAACGTTGAAATAGATATAATATTCCTTTTACATATTTCATCCCAGTTTTCAAAACATTTTTTTTCTAATTTTGATAAAATTACATTTAACTTTTTAACTACATTATAAATTATGTATTTTATAAGCATATTATTTTTTATATTTAAAATAAATTTTTTCAAATAACTATCTATTCCTTTTATATCATTTTCTTTTTCATATATGCAACTTAATAACCAAAAACTATTTAATTCATCAATAATCATGAGTACAAATTTATCATAATTATCTTTAAAAAAATTTCTTTTAATTTTATTTATTTTTTTTATAAGATCGAATTTATGAATAACATGTTTACTCATGGAAGACGAATTTCCTCTAGTCCACTTCACACAATTCCTTTTATTGATTTCCTTAAAATTATTTTTTAGAATAACTTCATTTTTTTCTAATATACTTGTTGTTTTTTTAGATTTAATATGAACATCTCTAATAATGTTATATATGAGTAAAAAGAATGGATAAAATGCATCTAAATAATCTAAAATTGATATAATAGAATTTTTATAAGTAGATATGATTTCATTTACTTCATTATATGTAAATGGGGAAGTATCATTTAAATAAAAATTATCAACAAAATAATGATATCTATTTAAAACAAAAATATGGAAATGTATTTCGTTAGAATGGTAAAGAAAAGAAGAATTTATAAAACCTGATAAATATAATGAAAAACGAAAATAACTTAAAAAAAAAATTGAAAAAAACTCAAATTCATAATAATCTATTTCTAATTTCATATCATATTTCTTATTATTCAATTTTTCACAAAAAAATTCGTTTAATAATTTTTTATTTTTTATATTTATATCATATTTTTCATAATTATAAATTTCTTTTATAATTTCATAATATTGTACTTTTAAACAATTTTTATCTATGTTTTTCAATTCTTCTTTTTGAAAATGCTCAATAATTGCATCTATAAATATCCTCTTTTTAAAAAAAGGAAAATATAGTAATAAATTTTTGGATAGTTTGTCTTCTATAATTATTTTTTCTACATCAGATTCATTTATATTATCATTATCATTATCATTATCACTGCTTTGTTTATCTAATGTTTCACTATCACGACTTTGTTTATCTAATGTTTCACTATCACTCGATTGATTATTTAATATTTCATTTTCGTTATTATTGCATATATTGCTATTTATATTATGATTGTTTAAATTATTATCACTTTCAAAAATATCATAAATCTCAAAAGTTTCAACTAGATCAGGATTTCCTCTAATCTCATAATTTGTACTTAATGTAGGATTATTTCCGTAATCAATATTCTCAAAAATTTCAACAAACCCGTTAATATTATCTGTTTCTTCCATATTTATACTAATATCAGTGTTACTACTATCAAATGAATCACTATTTAAGAAATTTTCACTACTTTCATAATTTTTTGCTAACTCATTATTTTGATAATTATTATAAAACTCACAGTTAATTTCGTTTCTCATTTCCTCTTTATTTACATTAGCATCTACCAATTTTCTATTTTCAATAATATCATTTCTCATGGTGATTTTATTTCTTTTGTTATCTCTATATGTTACATAGTTAATATTTCTTAAATTTTTCTTATTAATTTTGTTTTTTTTGTTAATATTATTTCTTTCATCAATTTTATTCTTTTCAATTATTTGATTTTTTTTACAAATTTTATTTTTTTTTGTTCTTTTATTATATTTATTATTTTCATCATACCTTTCAACAACTAATGAATTTTCTTTTTCTTCTTTTTTCTTATTCATGTTATCAATATCTTCGTTTATTTGTAAACTTTTTGTTATTCTTTGATAATTTGATTTTTTCATCTAGTTTTATTTTTATTCCTATATCTATATGTCTTATTAAAACTGTTTTGTATTTTTGAAAATTTTTTTTGTAAATTTAAAACTTTTCATTAGTTTCTTAATATTACTCTATTCAAATTTATTTCATTATTAACCTTTTTTTTTATAAATTTATTATTGTTATTACTCTTTCTTTGAATATTTTTTTTTTTTTTATGTAAGAATTTTATATATATGTAACATTTTAGGTATGTTGTTATTTTGTATATTGTATATAAATGCATAAAAAAAATAAAAGATTTTTACTTTTATTATTATAGACATATAATTTTTTTTTATTTCATATATGTAGAAATGTTTCTGTATTCTACTATCATTAAATATTACTGTTTTTTATTAATAGTATTATATAAAAAATTAAAAAAAAAAAAAGAAAACATCCTAAATACATATATATACTATATATATGAATACATAAATGATCTAATTAAAAATTGACAAATATGGAAAATATTTGGAAAATTTATTTCTCTTTTTTGAAATAAAATTTAGACATTTTTATTTATTGATGATAAGTTTTTAGTCTATATTATTTATATATATATTTTTTTTTTATATTTTTAAACCTATTTTAATTTTATATTTAGTTGTTATAACAAGGTAGATTTTTTTTTTTTTTTTTTCAATATTTTTAAAATACACACTTAAAAGATATAAGAGTATATAAAAAGAACTTTTCTACATTAAGTTCATTAACAAAAAATAGTAATAGTAAAAGTATAACAAAATAAAAAATAATATAAAAATGATAATATAAATATTAGATTATACGTAAATATTTTAAAAATATAAACTCTTTTATTTATTTAATTTATTAGTTGATAAATTAGAATATAATGTTTTTACAAATATTTGTTTTATGATTTTTATTATAAATATTTTTATAAGATTCATATTTCTTGTTATACTAATAAAATTTTTCTATATGTTTAAAAAATAAACTGTTTCGTTTTCTTTTTTTTCTTTTACTTATTTATTTAATACAAATAAATTAAATATGCACTTTAAAAAAAAAATCAATATCTATTAAAGGTATAATATTCTCATAATATAAAAAATTACATATCCAGTATATCTGATATAGAATCATTTAAATGATGCATTATTTAATCTAAGTAAATATAAATGTAATAAATACTTTAAGGGAGAATATGATTATATAATTCTTGTCTATTAGACAAAAGGAAAAAAAAAAAATAATAATAAAATAATAAATGAAAGGAGAAAAATAATTTCATGACAAAATATTACTAATATATTAATTAAATCTATTTCAAGATTTTTTAATATATTAAAGATAACATCTCTAAATTTGGGTATATTATTTATTTATTTTTTTTTTTTTTTAAAACATATACTATATACGAATTAAAGATTGTAGATCTATTATATTAAATTTATTTTTAAAAAAAAATAGTAATTCTAAAAAATAAATTTTTAAAATTGATAATATTATTTTATTTATCCCTTAATTATTTTTTTTTTTTTATATATATAGTCTTATTAGAAAAAAAAAAAAAAAATTACTTAAATTTTGACTTTCGAATAGTTATAGCTATGTATTGTTCTGAATTTTTATTTTTTTCTTTTTCTTGAAAAAACTTATTTAATGCACATCTATTTTAAAATATTTTCTTTTATTTATAATTTTATTCAATATTATTAATTATATAATTCTAAAATATACATATATTAGATATATAAAATAAGAATAGACAATAAAAAAAAAAAAATAAAATTCAATAATATGAAAAGCTAAATAAAAATATTTATTATTCTCTTTTATTTTTTTTTTTTGAATTTCTCTTCAATTAGTTCATATAAAAATATTTTTTTATTTTTTTTTGAAAGATAAACATTAAAAATAAAGATGAAAAGGTAATTATTAATTTAAAAATTTTTATAATTTTCGATAACTTTCTTGATGTAATAAAAACAAAAAAAAATATTTATAAATTAAATTTCTATTTTTATAGTTTTCGACTAAAAAAAAAAAAAAAAAGAAAAGAAAACAATAAAATGATATAGATATAAAAAGAATTATAATATTACATATTTTCTGAAAATGGCCAACATACATATATATTAATAAAAGAAGTATTATATTTCTATTATTTTTTAATCATACTAATGAAATTCATACATAAAAATTTTAACATAGTAAACAAATAACAAAAAAATATTTGATTATTTTTTTAAATTATATTTTAAAATACAAGATTAAGTGAAATGTTACAGTTATATTTTTATATATAATATATAACATATATGCAATTAAATTTGATAACTAAAATAATATATATATATATATATTTAATATTTAAAACAAATATTTATAGAACATAAAAATTACCTTTAAATAACAATATGAAATATTTTTATTATCAATATTTGTATATATAGAATACTTAAAAGTTTTAAAATATTATGACAGAATATATGCATTTATTGTAAAATAATACTATTTAATTTTTATTTATTTATTTTTTTTTTTTTTTATTGAAATTTAAAATAATTCTATAATTTAAGAAACTCTTTTAAGTAATAATAAATATATGTCACTAATATTATCAGACTTATAAGGATTATTTATTTTTTTAATTTTATCATCATTACATAAATAAAATCCATCACTGTATTTAACAATAGCTGTATAATGCCCATTATAACTATCTCCACTATGGCATATAATACTTTCAATAATATACTTACAATTATATAACGATTTGTGATTAGACATATGTGCAAAAGGTGTAAAATCAACTAAACCATCAACTGGCAATAAAACAATTGTATCTATCTTTTTAATTTTATTATTACAATAATTTTTACAATCATATATCCATTTAAATCTTTTTATATAAATAATCATATATAAATTAGGCATTCTATATATTCCTTTTTTTATGCAACTTGTTTTTTTTAGTTTACAATTATTGCATTCAAGATAACAAAAATCATCTTTATCCATTATATTTTTTTTTAATAAATCTACTAATGTAGTACTTTTCAAATTTTCATCATAAAATTCTAGCCCTAAATCAATGCAAAAATCAAAGCTGTATCTAGTATGTCCACAGCTAATACATGTAATACTTGAAATATTTTGAAACCCTAATAAATCAGTTATAATGCTATTATCCTTAAATAAATATTTGTACCAATATTTATCACCAGCTTTTTCTTTGTTATCTTTATCATCTAATTTAATATCAAAGTTAAGTGGTAATTTTGAACATCTATTACATTCTACGTTAATAAAATCAAGTAACATCAGTAAAAATTCATGAGCATCATTTTGAGCATTAATTACTATATTATTATTATATATTTTTATTTTTTTTAGTATATTAATATGCTTATTTGTGCATACAAAATTTTTATCTATACTATATGTTTCCTCTATTAAATCAAATAAAGTTCTTAAAATATCTCCCTTATATTTAGAATTTGTATTTAAATAAAATTTCTTATGTTTTTTTAATAAATATATACATAATGGTTTTATAGATAAAATTAGCTGTAAGGAAGCATTACAGTAACATATATTTCCTATATTATTAAAAGATGTAAGTTTTCTTTCAATATTATCATAATTATAATATTTTGAATAATATTCATAATTTTTGATTGATAATATATCATAAGAGTTATTTTCTGTTATATTCATTTTATCTCATTTTAATAATCATAAGTATAGAATAATAAAAATCACATGTATTCAAATCCTTTACGTTTATCTTAAAATGTGTATATATAATAAGTTATGTTTTACAAAGAAAAAAAAAATATATTTTTTTTTTTTTTAATTTTATATAAAAATTGATTAATTTATAATGATATACAGAAAAATTAATTTACATAATACAAAATTTAAATATGATTTAAAATCTTTCATTTAAACAACATTTCTTTTTTTATATAAAATTATATAAAGTATTATAATGTTTAATAATTTAATTTTTTTTTTTTTTTTTTTTTTTTTTTTTTTTTTAAGGACTTGCAATATTTTTCTTCTTCAGCATGTGAATTTTATTTTGTCAATATTTAATTTATAAACATAATTTTTGAAATTGTTTTACGAATTATTTGTTTATATTAATTTTATATTTTTTAATTACATCATGAAAAAATGAAATGAAGTAAAAAGTATGAAAAAAAATAGAAAAAACAGAAAAAAAAAAAGGAAAATGCAAAAAACAACGAAGAAAGAACAAAAAACAAAACGAAAAAAAGAAAAAAAAAAAAAAAAGTTATTTATTTTGAATTTTAATTATAATTTAAAAAAATATTGAAATATATATATATATATATTTATAATAAAATATTTATGGTTTTTAACATTATTAAAGAAATATCTTAATTTAAAAAAAAAAAGAAAACATATAACAAAACAAATGTGTGAGCAAATTACAAAACAAACTAATGTTAAAAAAAAAAAAAAAAAAAAAAAAAAAAGATACATTAATAAAACATTTAATAGAAAATATTTTATTAAAAAAAAAAAAAAAATAAGAAGAAAAGGAGATTAAGTAATTAAAATACATATAATTAATTCCATAGTGTCCCTGCATATTTTTTAAAAATTATACTATCATCTTCAACAAAGTATAATTTAATTTTTTTAAACATCATTTTGTCAATAAAAGAATTATTTGTATGAAACTCATGACTTTTATTAAATCCATTTTCATTAAAGCTCAAATTTTTAACTTTATTTTTTTTTAGTTCATTTAAAATGTTGTAATCAGTTGTAGAATCTTCAAAACTTGTGGTGTTCTCAAATAAATTATAAGTATTTTTTATTTTTCTATTTAGTTTTTTATATAATATTAAGTTATTAAAATCATTTATTATCTTATAATTCTTCTTTAATTTATACATTTGACTTTTTTTTGAAACATACATCAATGTAAAACAAACAAAACCATCTTCGTACATAGCCTTTAATAGAAAACTCAGATCACAAAAATTTAAAATTTCTACATTCTTATATATCTGTAAAAAAAAAATAAAATATATATATAATCATTAAATTTACATTAATTAATTATTTACGTATTTTTTATGTATCTCTTTCATATTAATGTAAGTATAAATTTATTTAGAAAAAATAAAAATCATACACAAAATTGCTAATGTGATTCATTTTTATGCAATTGAATGAATGTGTAGAGAAATGAAGAGAAAATTAAAACATAAAACAAATATATAAATAAACATGTCATAGATAAATATTACGAAAAAAAATTTAGTATAAAGTTATATATATAAAAAAAAAAAAAAAAAAAAAAAATGAAAATATTTAAATATGGTGATATTTTGATTTGCAGTTTTTGTTAAATAATAAATATTCCTTAATAAACAATCAATATAAATATATAATGTAAATATGAAAATAACAATATTATCTTAATATCATTAAGAAATAAATATGTAATATTATTATATGTATATAGGTTTTTTTCTTACATCAAATATAGAGGAATAAGGATTTTTTTTCAAGTAAAAGTAAACTTTTAAAATATAAAAAAAAATAAATTTTACATTCGTTCCTCCATTTAAATAAATAAAGCTATTTGCATTAATATAATTATCATTAAAATAATATATATGAAGATCTTTATTAGTTGCATTAATCTTCTTATTATATAAATAAAAAATATATTCAAAATATTTACATGCTCTATTAATAATATTTCTTATATATTTTATAACTACTGGATAATTTTTGTTTTCAATAAGATACAACAATTTTTCTCCTATTTTTGTTTTAAACAAACTATTATTATGAAATAAATGTTTTCTTTTTAATTCGCTTTTTTGAGAATTTTCTAAAAAATACATAAAAAAAAAATCATGAATTATAATATAACATTGTAGGTTAAATAACACAATTAATCTAGGAATAAAATAAGGTTTATTTAAAGTTCTATTGTTTATAAAATTCATAAATATATAATCACAATAATCCATATTTTTTCTGTTATAATTAATTTTTTCTTCTTCAATTTTTTTGTAAATGTGTTTATCTGATGAATTATTTTCATTTGTTTTATTTATATCCTGTTCAATGTCTAAATTATTCATCATTTCGTTTTTTTCAATAAATTTTTTGAATATTTTTGTACTATTGTCAGTGTATTTTTTATATTGAAATTTAAAATTTTTTAGATGATAATTTATCATATTTAAAAATGGATATTTATAATTATGATCGTAAAATATATTCTTTCTTTTATATGCAATATTATTGTTATAATAAGGCAAAAATATTTTATGTGTATTAATATACGGAAATATGTTTATAAGATTTAACTTATTTAAAATAAATATAACAAAATCAAATTCTTTTTTAACACAAGAGTATTCATTATAACATCTATGAATCATAAATTCTTTTAGATACATTTTTTTTAAGCTTTCGATGAAACGTCCTTCTTTTTTTTTTTTAACTAATAAAAAAATAAATAACATTTTATTAACAATTTTATTATATATATTAGAATTGTTATCTATATATGATATATCATAACGTTCATTATCTACATTAAAAGTATTTTCTACTATAGATTTATTTTCTATATTATTAATATTGACATGATCTTTATCATTCAGTATACTTGATTGAAATGTGTATTCACTGAAATAATCTTCATTTTTTTTCATACTTTCACTTTTATTATTTTCATCTTGTGATGTTTTTTTAAAATTGTTTTCATTATTAATTTTATTTTTCCTGTAATTGTATATTTTATTTATTTTTTCACATAGACCTTTTTTTTTTTTAGATTTTTTTGAATAATAAGATTTATAACATCCATCTTCATCATAATTATTTAATATATTATCAAAATAAAATACATTATACAAAATATGAGTAATAAATATAAAAGATTCCTTATATATATTTTTTTTTCCTCTATTTTTATTAACCTTCACTTTTTTTAAAAATTTTTTCAGCTGATAATTTCTTTTATTTTTATTATTTTTTTTTTCATGCAATATTTTTGCACATACACTTTTTTTTTTTTCTGTATCTTCATAAATACTCTTCTTTATATTTTCCATTTTTTTCTTTTCATAACTTTTTTCAGGCGTAATTTTTTTATTTATTTTCTCATTCGATTTTCCTTTTTCTAGCCAAAAAATGTTATTTTTCAAATTAAACGTTTGTATATCTAATAGTGAATCAATATTTTTATGAATATTTGAAATGTATCCAATATTATATAAATGCAAATTTTGCGGATATATATCAAAATCAATGAAAGTTTTTTTGTTTATATTATAAATTAATAACTTGTTTTTTTTGTAAATTATTGAGTTAGCGAAATTATTTGTTTGAATATATAAGTCAAATATTTTATTAAAATTACAGTTAATGTCTAAATTTATAATATATGAATTTTTAAATGGTTTAGATATTCCATTAGTGTTGTTTTCATAAATATAAATGCAATATTTTTTAAAGTAATTAAAGAAAGAATTATTTGTATAGTTAGAATCAACATATGATCGAAAAATATTGTTAAAATTAGAAAATTTTACTTCTTTATTATTCGAAAAAATATTTGATAGTTTTTTTGTTAGTTTTTTTTTATTATTACTATTTAAAATATAATAATTTGGAATATATTCGCTAACATGCTTAGTTAAACATTTTATATGCTTACTTATTCCTCCTTGAATTTTTTTGCTGTTTTCATTAACATTTTCTAGTAATTTTATAATTTCATAATCATCTGAAAAGTTATCGTATATTTCTGAATCATTTTCACTGGATGAAATATAGCTCATATATTTTTCTTTACGAACATTTTCTTTTTCTCCATTTTTTAAATGTTCTTCATTTTTTTTTAAATAATTAAAAGTAAAATTATCTTTTTGTTCTTCTGAAAATTTAGAAATTTCTAAATTTTTTTCGTGATAATGATCTTCTTTTTCATGATCACTTGTTTTTTCATCATCATCTTTTATTATATAATTGTTACACGCATATAAAATAATATTTCCTTTTAGGAAATTATGAATATAATAATTTAGGTCAAAAATGCTTAAATTCTTTTTGAACTCATATTTTTTGTATTCTTCATTTAAATTTTCACTTTCTTCAGAATTATTATTTATGTTGCTAACATGACATGAATTGTCATTTCTATTATATTCATTCAAATTGATATTTTTAAATTCTTCCTTATCATCATATAAATCATTATTTGAATTTATATTTTTATAACAATTTTTTGTTTCACCATTATTTATATCTGTGTTATTAAGAGGACTGTAAATATCATCAGCTTTTTCATAAATATTATCAATATGATATAACAAATTATTTATATTATAATTTATTATATTCAACTTATTATGTGAATCTTCAAAATGTTTATCATGCTTACTTTCCAGATGTTTTAATGAGTGGGATACACCAAATAAATGAATTAAATCAAAAACATTATCAAAAAAACTTTTCTTCGAAAAATAGGATAATTTTTTTTTGTAAAATATAGATTTATAAATTAAATTAGAATATATATTATTATAAGAAATATCGTTATTAATATAATTAGATAATAAATAAGAAGTTTCAACAACGTAGTTTTTTTTTTTTAAAAACACCACAGCTCTTTTAATGTCTTTAATTTTTTGAAAAAATAAAGTTTTTATAATTTCTTTGTATAAAACAAACAAATCTCCATAATTTATTATAAACAATTTTAGTATATTCACAAGAGAAATAAATCCAAAGTTATATATGTTTTTTATACATTTATCATAATAATAGTTTATATTGGTATATGTGCAATTATATATATGTGTTGTGAAATAATTTACAAGAAATTTAGACAACTTTTCATTATCTAAAATAAAAAAGTAATGAACTACGTTTTTTTTGAAATAATGAAATAATTTTCTTTGAATAAATATACATATATTTTGATTAAATTTTCCGATCATCATGTCATTTATTTTATTCCATAAACTTTTCCTATAAGGAATAGTATTAGTTCTATTTTTTAAATAATATATTAATTGAAATTTTTTTAATTTCATACATATAAAATCATCTATTCCAAATTTTTTTAATGTATGCAATTTATGATATTTGTAGTTTTTTCTTTTTTTTCTACAAATTTCTTCATTTCTATGATTTTCTTTTTGAATTGTATTTTTTAATAATAATTTTTTTTTTTGTAACTTCTTTAAAACACTCTTAATGTTTGGATTTTTTTTATTGAGACTTTTTATTTTAATTAGCTTCATAATTCTCTTCTTATTATATAAAAATTCTTTTGCAGAATTTTTTTTATTTTTAGTTTTCTTTTCTACAACTATGTTTTCTTCTTTTTTTTTTTTCATCATTGAGTTATCTTTTAAAAATCTATATAAAGCATTAACACTTTTTTTTTTTTCTACAATTTTTTGTGACATAATCAACTGAACAATTATAGTTACAAAATAAATGTAAACATTTCTTAATGAGTATTTTATCTTTATATTCTCCATAAAATTATTCATATCATTACTATAATTTTTAATTGAAGAAATATTATTAATACATATATCATTAACTTTCTTTATATTGTCCGTTATCTTTTTTTTTGAATTATATTTTTGAATTTCTTTATTATTTAATTTTTCTTTTTCATTTAAAATGTTATAATTTTCTTCATTTTGCATAAAATTCTTAGATAATTCACTTAAATCATGAAATGAAAAATTTTTCTCTAGTTTTTCTGTTAATTCGTTAATTTTATTTAATGATTTTTTTTTATCTAATGATATATTTTTATATATATCTTTTTTTTCCTCAATGGGATTATATTCATGTATATTTGAATTTTTTACAAGATTATTTCTAATTTTTAGAAAATCACTTAATCTTTTATGTATCATATGTTTTGAATCCGAAAAAAAGGATATGAGACCAGAAAATTTTTTGTTTATATTGTGAATATTTGATATGTGATTTAATAAATCATTTTTTAAAAGAAATATATCGTTACAAAATGGACATAAAAAGGATAAAGGTTTTTTAGTTATTCTTGCACATGTACTTTTTTCTTTGTTATATAAATTGTAAAAAATAGTAAAATATTTTTCTATATTTATTTTAGATATATTATATACATCACGAAATATACTGTATTCTTTACGTGATTTCAAAACTTTCATTAACTTCATTTTAGGTTTGTCTTTTTTTACCTTTTTAATTAAATTGATGAATAGTATTCTCAATCGTCTAGTTAAAAATAACTGATTAGTATATGAATTATGTAAAAGCAAGAATTTTAAACTTTTATTTTTAAATTTTGTATTTTTTAATACATCCTTCATTTTTAATTTACTACACTGATAATTTTTTAAGCATACTTCTTGTAAAAACTTTTTAAATTTTTCAACATTTAACTGAAAAAAAAAAAAAAAAGTAAAATATAATTAGAAAAAAAAAATTATATAACAATATATATATATATATGTATGTATTTTTATTTTTCTTAAACATATTAAGTAAATTATTATATAACATCATTTATTCTTATATATGGTACTTATATATATTTAAAATTACAATTAATAAACATTTAAGTATTAAAAGAAAATAAGTAATATATAAAATAACATGAAAAAAAAAAAAAAAAAAAATAGAGTAAAACAAAATATTTAATCTTAAGTATTGTTAAAAAGTAGTTATAATACTTACGTATAAATTATAATAATATTCTTCAAAATTATTGTATTCCATCATATTATATGATTTTGATTTTTTTTTCTTTTCCTTTTTTGATGTAAATAAATTAATGTTCACCTTTTTTTTAATATAAATTTTCAAATTATTTCTTTTAAAGTCAAGGAGTGATAAATTTGAATCAACATTTTTAGGGAACCCGGAAATATTATTTTTCCATTTGGAATTAAACTTTATATTTTTATTTATATCATTATATTTAATGTTAACTAAGTTCATATTATATAAAAATTTTAATTTTCTATATAAAGAAAAAAAAATATAAATTTTGTCATTATTTTTTATAACATTAATATCATCTTGGCATAATTCTTCTTTTTTCTTTTTTTTTGAAGAAATATAATTCCTTGTTAAATTTTTTTCTTCATTTGTTTTATTCTCATTGGATATAACATTAAGATTATTTGTTCCTTTAAATTCCTCATTATGATTATATCCTTTAAAATATGATGATTCTTTTTTGTTATATATTAAATTTTCAATAACATTTTTACTATTAAAATTCAGTAATGAATATGATGTTAAAAATTCAAATAGCATTTCAGGTAAATCTTTCATTTTTTTTTTCTTTTTTTTTCTTAACAGATAATTTTCAATATATTTCAATTTGCACCCAACACTAATTATTTTTAAATATTCATCTAGATATAAATTTTTCAATATATCTTTTACAGATAAAACATTATTATATTTTTTTTTTTTTTTTTTTTTTAATAATTTCCTTTTTTTAAAATTATTAGAATTACATGTAGCTTTACTTTCATTATTATCTTTTTTTAATATATTTTTTAACTTATTTTTAATTTTACTTTTTTTCTTCTTTAAAATTCTAATTAAACATTTATGAAAATATTTATATCTAGCCATTTTAGAAAAAATGTATCCATAAAAATAATTTATACTATAAGAAAGTTCTTGAGTTGTTTTAAAATTTTGAAAAAAGTTATTTGTTTTCGTCCTTTTACTAATAATATTGTTCTCTCTACATTTAAAGGCTGACTCATTTAATATATCAATATATAATACATTATAATCGTGACCATTATTAATGATATCAATATTACTATTATTATTATTATTTTTTATATCATTCAAGTCTTTTTTATTTTCCAAAGATGGTAAAATAATAGAACCTTCACTTTTATTATTTAAATTTGATTCTTTAAAATTTTCATTGCTGTTAATAGGAATAATCTGTGAATGAGGTTTATTCTGAAAATTACCTAAATTAACATTTATTTTCTGAATACATTCCACTTTATTTTTTTTATTTAAGGATTGACAACTAATATTAATCATTTTTCTTTTTTTATTTAATCTATTTGAATTACTTGTATCATTTACATTAGGAGTAATGTACTTATTTGTATTATGAGAATTATAAAATGAATTATAACTTGGCTGGTTAGTTATGTGTGTATTTTTGTTATTTAAATTATATATATTATACATGTCTTCCTTTTCGTTACATAATACATTTAATGAATCACAATCATAATTATATTTTCCAATATTTTGTATATATATTTTGTTTTTTTCATCAGAGGTAATTATATTTTCCTTAATATTTAAATTATCATTTAGTACATTATTTTTCTTAAAAATTTTATCACTTACACAATTGTAATTGTTTGATGTGTGATTATCACTATTTAATTCTTTATTAGGTGAAATATTTTGTTTTTGATCAAAGATATTTAAATCATCTTTGATTGAATTAGAAGTTAAGTTACAATTTGATACATTTGAATATACAATTTTCGCTTGATTATATTTATCAACAGAATTGTTTTTATAGCAAAATTGCATGTATTCTTGTTGAAACTTTAAATAAAGTTCATTTGATTGTTTTTCTGATAACACTTGTGAATCATAAAAAAAATATTTCACAGTTTTACTGTAAAGAACTGATGATTTTTTGAAAAAATTATTAATTTTAGTTGAGTATATAAAAAGACGCTGAACTGATTTTCTGTCTATAGTTTTTCCATTATTTTCTATTTTAATAAACAGATCTTGTAAAAATCTAAATGTAGTTACTTTTGAACATAGTAGAAAATGACAAAAAATAAATAATCTTTTTATGAATACATTACTTTTTAGTTTTTTTGTATCTTCCATGAAATATTTTATAAAATCTATATCTTTTTTAGATGCTTCTACATTTTTTATATAAAATTCACTTTCTTTATTTTCATTTATAACATTATTTTTAAGTTTTTTTTCATTTAAACCATCACAATTAATTTTAAAATAAAATTTTTTGTTATAATTTTTTAAGAGAAATTTTAAATAATAAAAAAAATGAAAACTACATGTATATAAATCATATTTATTCTCAAAATTCTTAAAATTCTCAACATAATTATCAAAAAATTCTTTATAATTATTGTAATTATTAAATGAGTCTTTGTATTTTGGTATGACATAATTTAAAACGTCTATATCTATTTTATTTATTGTATAGGTATAATTTAATATATTCAATGATTCGCTTAAGTTCTTAAATTGAACTTGATTAATGTCTTTTTTGTCAAAAATTTCATATACATTTTTTTCTTTTCCTACATTAAGTATCTGATTTATATCTTTATTATTTATGTTGTTATAATCGCTATTTTGATGTGTGGTTAGTTCATAACTTGATTTATAACTATTTGAAAAATTATCTTTTTTTGTGAATGTAATATTTTTTTCATCATTAGAATTTTTGATATTATTATTCTCTGTTTTATTTATTTTAAAAGGATCAATAAAAGGATTTTTCTGTATATATTGATAAATTTTATTATCAAAAAATCTATACATAAAATTTTTATCTTTTCTTTCTGGTATTTTAACAATATGTTTATTTTTTATAAGCTTATTAAGAAAAGTAGTTGTTTTTTTAACATTAAGAAATAATATTTGAGAAATTTCTTTTGTTGTTATTCCATTTACACCTTTACTTATAATTAAGTATTTAATTTTGTCATATAAAGCTAAATTGTTTAAATATATATTTTTATTCTTAACAAAATATTTGTATTCATCATTTTCCCAATCTGTACTAAAGGATGAAGAAGAAGATGATTTTATATTTTCTTCATTGTTTTTAAAATTTTCACTAACTTCTTTATTTGATTGAGGAATTTTATCACTTTCATATAAAAAAGAAAAATCAGATAAACATGATTCTTGATTTTCATCTAATGAACTTGAATAGTTATCTATGCCATGCAGATTATGATCTACTTTTAAATCCACATAATTTTTAAAATCATTTATCAATAGATCACAATTTTTTTCATTTACATAATTTTCATCATCTGTTGGTTTTATATGATTTATTTTACTTTTTTGAGAGTCTATATTTTCATGCATATGTGACCTATAATTATTTATCTTAATCATATCATCAATATTTAATGGAGTTTTTGAATGTAAATTCATTTCTTTTTCTTGCAATTTTTCGTTAAATGTATTTTTTTTTAACTGTATACTTAGATTATTCCTATGACTTTGATCATTAGTTTTAATAAATTCATTTTTAAATTCAAAATTTTTTACATAATCTTCACACATTAAATAGCTTGATTTGTTTATAAATTTTATTATATAATCATAATTGTAATAAAATAAAAGTAAAAAATTAAATATATTGTCATAATTTATTTTATGCTTATTTTCATAATTTAAATAACAATTTTCATAATTATAATGAATTTTTATCTTACACATAATTATCTTTTTATTATTAATTAGATTAGATAAGATTGAATTAAAAATTTTTAGAGCTTTTCTTACTTGTATAAAGTAATATGGATTATAAACAATTAACAATTTGAAAAATATCAATGATAAAATCTTTTGAGGTATTATAATAAATTTATTTAAAAGACACAATATTATTTTGTTAATTGATAATACATTTTGGGAGTATAATAGATTTTTGATAAATATTGGTAATAAGTTGTATATAAAAAAAGTATTAAAATATAAAATATATGAAGGATTTAATCTAATTGGGTTATTATTGTAGTCTAAATTGTTTTCTACATCATTTATATTAATACTAATTTTTTTAATTAATAAATATTGAAACAACTCTTTTAAATGGTAATGGATAGTTTTTGAATCTAAATTTAAATATTTCGATAATGAGCTTTGAATTATTCCATTATATTTACTAGAGACAATGTATAACAAAATAAAAATTTTTTCTTTACATTCTTTTATCCGTTGATAATAAAATAGATTGTATTTATTATATATATATATGCTATTAATATAAATGTTAAACTCATTAGGTGAGCTGATAACAAAATTTTTGTCTTCAATATTTATTTTTAAATCTAGATCATTATTATATTCATCTAATAAAAAATTTTTATTACCATTTTTTAATATGCATATATCTTTACAAAAATATATATTTTGAAATACTTCTTTTTTCATATATTTATCCATATTAATATTTTTGTTTCTTTCTAAATTTTCATATAAATTTTCTAGAGTTAAACAATAACTAACTTCATTATTTTCATTTTTCTTATTTGTTACATATTCTATTTTATTAAAACTAGTACACAACTCATCAAAAATGTACATTAATAATATTCTATCCATCTTTTAAAATTCATGATAAAAAAAGTAATAATGACAAAACAAAAAAAAAAAAAAAAAATTATAATATTAATTATTTTTTAAAATATATAACCATATATTAAAAATAGTTTTCAAATGTTATCTTGAAAAAAAAAAAAAAAAAAAAAAACATTAATTTAAAATAATATAAAGTTTAAATAAAAGAAAAGATGGTTATACTATACCTATAGTTTATGATTTTTTTAATAATATAATGAATTTAAAAATAAATATATAAGAAATATTAAAAAGAGTCATTCCTAAAATGAAATCTATAATGTAGTATATTAAGAAAATCCATTAATTTACATAAAAAAAAATATTTCAGTATATATAAATAAAATTAATCTAAATATCATCATTTATAAGATATATAAGAAATTGTATAAAAACGGATTTCAAATATTAAATAAATAATTCATTAGAAAAGTATTGTTTTAAATAACATGTAATAAAAAAAAAAAAAAAAAAAAATATATATTGAAATTGCTGAATATGAGCATTACTATTTTTTTTTTTTCTTTGAATTTTTTTTAATATTAATAAACAATTTTTTTTTTTTTTTTTTTAAAAACATCTTTTCATGTAACACAATTGATCATAGATACATTTTTTTAATTTTTTAAATTTATCTCTTTTTCATTTATTTTTTATTTTTCATTTTACTTTGGCTTTTCAATTTTAATATTTCATAATTTTTTTTTAGGCTATTTTAAAACATTTCTACTTTTATTAGGATATCAATAATCTCCATAATTTATGTATGAAATTAAATATATACTTTATGGAATAAATTAAATTTGCATTATATATTTATATTTTTCGTTTTGAATTTAAAATATTGAAATTTTGAAAAATAGTATTTGTAATTAAAATAAAATTAACACATTTAATTTGAATAAATTAACCTTAAAGTAGTTTTTTTTCCTTATTACTTTTTTATATTATGACTTTCAAAAAAGACTAATAGAAAATAAAACTTAAATTTAAGAATATTTTTTGACAAGATTAAAAATTTATAAAATGACAGAAGCTCTTATTAGTTTGAATTATGGAATTAAAATTTATATTTATATTTTTTTTATTTTTTATTCACAATTTAAAGGCTTTTATTTTAAACAAAAAATTCAGAAATCTTTGTACTAAATACTCATCAAATAAAAATAGGGTTAAACTATCTTTAAAAATAAATGATATTATTAATTTTAAAAGTATATAAAAAAAAAAAAAAAAAAAAGTCTATATATGTTTTAAATATTTAATACACTCAAAAAAAAAAAAAAAAAAAAAAATAAAATAAACAAAAATAAACAATATTTCAAAATTTTATTTTTAAGAAAAAAATAATATAAATATATTTACATATGTGAAACCATATATTTTTGTTGTATATAATAGATAAGAAAGATTTAAAAAAAGACATAATAAAACATTCAAAAAAGTTGTGTTTAGATTTAAATGATGAACAAGTAAATAACAAATACAATATAGAAAAATACTATATTAATAAAAAAACAAGAATAATAAAACAATTATTATTTATTTTTTTTATTTATTTTTTTTTTTTTTTTTTTTTTTTAGATAAAAATTATAGAAAATAATTTATATGAATTTTTTTATTATTTAAAATTAAAAAATATAAATATAGTAAATGAAAAAAACAAAAATTTTCGTATATGAACTTGTTTAATAAAATGTATAAAATAAAAAAATTTCTTCAATAAATATATTTTCTTTTTGTTTTTTTTTTAAAGGATGTAAAAAAAAGAAAAAGTAAATATTCAAAATTGTTGCCTTTATGTGTGAAAGAAAAAAGACAAAAAAAAGTATGCATAAATTTTTGTTTCATATTTATTACCTTACATAAAAAAAATTATATATTTTTATGATTTTTTATTATGTAAAAATAAATGAATGAAATTATACATTTTTTTTTTTTTTTAGTTCCACACAACAAATCTGAAAAAAGAAAATGATTACTTTATTGTTAATTCTAATAGTTTTTCTAACTGAAGATATTTTATTAACTTTTTAAAAATTTTTTTTATCATTTTATATTACAAAATTAAAATTATATATCTTTTCACTTAAAAGATAAAAAGAAATTATATAAATTTTAGGTAATAATAAAATTCTGTTATTTGTATATTTATAGAATGTTTTGAATATATGGCTCATTTAAATACTATACTAAATTATGTTATATTTACCTTATTTTATGTTCACACTTAATTTTTGTACAATTTTTTCTTTTTTTTTTTTTTTTTTATTATAAAATCCCATTTTAAGTTATTTTTCCTTTAATTTTCTTGTAAATATAACTTCATTGTATAATTTATTGTTTATTTTTTTTTTATTTATTATATATTTAAAATTTA